GATTTTAGTCATAATCTCATGTGGTATGTTATACGCATTAGTTTTGAGCGCGTGTTACGTAACATACAAAAAATCTCATTTAAAGATTTGGGAACAATGCTATACCAAGGCAGCATTCACTACCCTGTGGGTAAACTAGTTTATATTGTAATTTGTATATGGGAAGAAACGAACAGTATATCATAGCAATATATTGCCAGTAATATTGTATGTTTAAGATATTTGGAAGGGTATATATGATAAATTAATATGTTGCGGTGTGTTTGTTTAATAACCATGATCATGCATGTAGACATATAATTATGGTAATATATTGCGTATTTGCATGTGAGATATAGGACGCGACGTTATATGCTGGGACGCAAGAGCGTGATATTATACGATATTATATATTAGCGGGAACAATAATATATTGCGGGTTATTTATGAGAATGAAGAATCGATATATGATTCATAGTGGACAGTATATATGATGAATATGTAAGATATATTGCGAGTTTGTTTAAGGCATTTAAATTATAGAATGATAGTAACAGCATCGTAACAGAATATAGCGGTATACAGCTAATTCAAAAAAGGTTGTCCTTCACTAACTATAAACCTTAAACTCTAAACGGCAAAAGGGCAACGCCGGGAGCCTCAGTGTTTGCCGTTTTCGGTCAGAAAGGCTTAATTGTCATAACTACTAACTCTTGACGAAGGGCCTTCGCTAGGCTCCTTATTTTTTAAGGTAGTAATATAACCACTCAGCACATCATTTTCACTTTGGTACTACCAACACTGGTATACAGACAGTTTGATTATTTGTCATAATCCTTGTCCCATGCATGCAGCCATGCAAGACTTACAACGGCTGGAGAGCGTTCCCATTGCACTTTTCGCCCTTAGAGTTTAAGGTCTAAAGTTTAGAGTTTGGAAGGACAACCTTTTTTGAATTAGCTGTATATGAATGTAAGATATCGTGAGTTTGTCATGTTAAGTCTTAGTATAGGAACAGCTAGGAAATAATAATTCCTTGCGTGTTCGATCGATTAATTTAAGAAAGACGCCACATAATATACAGTAATAATCCATATATGATTTATCATTTTTGTTGCGGTATATATATGAATATAAGATATCTTAGTATACTATAGGTTGTATGAGAGACGCAACAGAATATATGCTAATAGGGTAATATATTTATTGCGGGTTATATTGACGAGAACGAAGAATCCATATATGATTTTCACAGTGGTATATATATGAATCATAAGACATTGCGAATTTGTTTAATTAGTCTTAGTATAGGTTGTATGAAAGACGCAACAGAATATATGCTAATAATATATTTATTCCGGGTTATTGACGACAACGAAGAATTATCCATGATTTTGACAGCAGTATATATATATATGAATAATGAATCATAAAACATTGCAAGTTTGTTTAAGTTTTAATCTATACAGGAGTATATAGTTGTGAGTTGAAAATACCGATGTTAAATCAATTGCGGGTTATTGACGAGAACGAAGATTAATTCTTAGTATACGTTGTAAGAAAGACGCAACAAAAATATGCTAATAATACATTTATTGTGGGTTATTGACGAGAATAATTATCAGTTGAAAATACCGATGGTAGATATCTTAGTATACTAGGCCTATAAGTTGCATGGAAGATGCAACAGAATATATGCTAATAAGTAATATATTTATTGCGGGTTATTGACGAGAACGAAGAATCATATATGATTTTCACAATGGTATATATATGAATCATAAGACATCGCGAATTTGTTTAATTAGTCTTAGTATAGGTTGTATGAAAGACGCAATAGAATATATGCTAATAATATATTTATTCCGGGTTATTGACGAGAACGAAGAATCCATATATGATTTTGACGGCGGTATATATATATGAATCATAAGACATCACGAGTTTGTTTAAGTTTTAATCTATACAGGACTATAGTTGTCAGTTGAAAATACCCATGGTAAATCAATTGCGGGTTATTGACGAGAACGAAGAATCTAATGTCCTGATATGATTTTGACAGCAGTATATAGGCCTATAGGCTATGAATATAAGATATCGCGAGTTTGTTTAAGTCTTGGTATATAGGTTGTAAGAAAGACGCAACAGAATATATGCTAATAATATATTTATTGCGGGTTATTGACGAGAACGAAGAATCCATGCATATATGATTTTCACAACGGTATATATATATATGAATCATAAGATATCGCGAGTTTGTTTAAGTCTTAATCTATACAGGACTATAGTTGTTAGTTGAAAATACCGATGGTAAATCAATTGCGGGTTATTGACGAGAACGAAGAATCTAATGTCCTGATATGATTTTGACAGCAGTATATAGGCCTATAGGCTATGAATATAAGATATCGCGAGTTTGTTTAAGTCTTGGTATATAGGTTGTAAGAAAGACGCAACAGAATATATGCTAATAATATATTTATTGCGGGTTATTGACGAGAACGAAGAATCCATGCATATATGATTTTGACAACGGTATATATATATGAATCATAAGATATCGCGAGTTTGTTTAAGTCTTAATCTATACAGGACTATAGTTGTTAGTTGAAAATACCGATGGTAAATCAATTGCGGGTTATTGACGAGAACGAAGAATCTAATGTCCTGATATGATTTTGACAGCAGTATATAGGCCTATAGGCTATGAATATAAGATATCGCGAGTTTGTTTAAGTCTTGGTATATAGGTTGTAAGAAAGACGCAACAGAATATATGCTAATAATATATTTATTGCGGGTTATTGACGAGAACGAAGAATCCATGCATATATGATTTTCACAACGGTATATATATATGAATCATAAGATATCGCGAGTTTGTTTAAGTCTTAATCTATACAGGACTATAGTTGTTAGTTGAAAATACCGATGGTAAATCAATTGCGGGTTATTGACGAGAACGAAGGATCCTATATGATTTTGATAGCAGTATATAGGCTATATATATATGCATGCAATAGTTAGCTATCAGTTGAAAATACCGATGGTAAATCACTTTCATCCATATATGATTTTGAGAGCGATATATATGAATATAAAGATATCGCGAGTTTGTTTAAGTCTTAATCTATAGGACAATAGTTATCAGTTGAAAATACCGACAGTAAATCACTTATTTTCCGTTCGTACCGACGGTACCGATGGTAAGGCCATTTGGTGAGCGCGTGCCTATCCATGCTCAGCTGGAGTCCACGAAATGAAAATATATTATTACCGATGGTAAATAATTTTTTCCGTCGGTATGCTTGCGTGAGTATTGGACATGTATGGGAAAAATTCAACAATTTTCTGGGGGAGAGTCCCCACAGACCCCCCATCACAAGATACAATAGTGTGGTCCATTTTTGTAGATTGCTTTCTCCCCACGAAAAAATTCTTAAAAAAGGCTCTGGCAAGCAACGAATGTTGGCGAGCGTTTCGTATGGTGGTGTACTTGAATGTGATGATTTAAATTTCCGTAATTTCGTAAGCAAAGAAACCAACATAGAACATGAACTACTGTAATAAACTATGAATTAAAACCGCATGCGCTAATTAAGATACCAGACACACAGATTCGAAAACTAGGCGTGCAAAAATCCGGAAAACTTTGATCTCAGTTGTGCAATTTGCAAACTTTCCAGTCTGGCAATGCACCCAAATGCACCCTACTTTATACTTTTACTCTGGCTAATGCCAGACGAGTTTACTCGTCAAGGGGAGAGTCTTAAACTATCTTAGTATGAAGAATTTTAGTTAAACTATCTTAGTATGAAGAATTTTAGTTCTGTATCATGCTACAACTGGAACACAACGGAATATAAAATAAGTTAGTATCTTTGATATTGAGTGGGCTAGATTTTGAGCAGCTGTACGATGCCTTGCTTGCTCGCTGCAGCAGCAATAAAGTATAGTGCTTTATCGGGATTCCGGGCACCGATAAAACTGATAATCTCACACGTGAGATTATTTATGATAAAAATTATGAAAATTATTGATTTTCACCCAATCACATATATGCTTTTCTTTTACGTTTATGGTGGGAAACATCTCAGTATGCAAGCATGTATTTTTCGAGTTTTGGTTTTCATCTCCTGTTAACTGGCTGCTCTTTTCGCGCGCTCAATATCAGTCAAACTTTTAAAGTATGCCATCGAATCGCTTTGTACCTCCAGTGAGGACAACTATTTTGTTTGAAAAGACTATCCTTTGTACAATAAACAGAATGAAAATAATTTCTTGTGTTGAACATTATATCTTGTATTAGGATAGTACAGTACAATCGCGAGGACTACACATGCGTTTTGAGCGATCGCGCCAAAATCGGTCATGTGACAATGTGAAAGGACTTGCAAGATGGCCGCCATTATCGACGATAGATACAAAACAGTGTTTTACAGACTTATTTAACGGTTTATTAAAACATCAGGCGGCTTCGTTGGACTTTATTGGTTTGTTAAAGTTACGAACGAACTTAAAGTTGTATGGTTTATGTCATAAGAAGCTTAATGTTGAAATAAATTTAATGTTTACGATATTGAACGTGTCGTGTTGAAACCTGTTTCTAAAATTGTACTTAACGTTTTCATTGGTTTATACCGCATCCCAGTACATATCTCACTTAATTTCTCGTGTTGAACATTATTTCTCACTTGTTCACTGCGCTCACTCATGAAATATCATGTACCTAGAAGATTTTGGTACACATTCACCAACCCTTACTTTTCTATTGCTGCTTGACACAATTTTAAAATATAATATTAGTACAAACTGGAAGCAGATATAAGAGAAATTGTACTCAGCAAACTGCATACTGTACAGCAGGAATTGGACCACAGTAGCCGTGTACTGTAGAAGCCATGTACTGTGTCGTGAAATAAACAAGGGAAAAGTATTGAAAATGATAGTAAATTTTATTTGAAAATCTTGGTCAGTTGTGCTTCAATGGGGATTAATGACTGTTATTTTCTCTCTAGGTGGCTCTTGATAATATAATTGATAGCACATCAAACATCATCAATAGTGCTCTAGATCTTACCAGAAGAAGTTTAATTGGTGCTTGGGAAAGTGGTGAACATGGTGGAGACTTTTTGGAAACTGTCACAAAATCATTTGATAATATGCTTGATCCTTTTGCATCAATGAGAACCAATTATTTGCAAACATACATAAAGAGAAACTTTAATTATGTTGGAATCAAAGAGGTGGTTTTGGGAAAGACAATTTCAAGAAAGTTTTTGAAAAACATGCATCCCCTGGAGAAGGACGAGAATTTTGTTCATATACCACTGATTGAAAGCCTTGACCAACTCCTGTCCAACAAGAGAATTGCAAAACTCATCAGAAAACCTTGGCAGTGTGACAGTGATATTTATTATGGACAAATCTTCCTAACTGATAAGTTCTTGGCAGATCACCCAGATGCTTTACAAATCATCATCCCCCACCTATTAGAGAAAATGAGCATGACAATTGTATCATCACTCTGTTCTACAGAGTCCATAATGCTGTGTTAAGGGAGCAAGATCTTAGCATGGTTCATTTTATGAATAATATTACGTTGACAACACATAAAAAAGATTTGTTTGTTGGTGGGATTTTGTATGAGGATGTAGCTGCTTTTGTTTATTTGTCTTTGTGATGTTTCTAGGGAGGGTATAAGACCTGTGTTACACATTGCATTTCTTAGTGGTGCAGGCTATGTTTGTAAAGGATCAATTACCATGGATTTTTTATTCAAAACGGTTTTTGTAAGTTATGCGCATATATTTGGATACCCCAATGGAGTTCGGTTTGATAAGGAATTAACAGAGTATATTTTTCAGTATTCAATTGCACATGACAAAGACGAAGGATGGAGTGCGTGTTCTGTACATAGAGATGGCAAGAAGGCAGTAGCGCAGAAAGCACTGCGAAAAAAGATTCAAAAACACACAAAATCCCAAGCACATATTGCTGCAAGTGGCTTTCTAGATGAAAAAGAAGAAGAAAAGGTCGAGACAGCATTACTCAAAAGTGTTGCGCACTCAAGAGAGCTAACAGAGAGATTGCCTTCGGACAGCATATTTTGTTGGGCACCGTCCATTCACAGATTACCCAGACATTCTCGCTCTTCAAAGCAGAAATGGAATAGAGTTGGGTCAATTTTACATTCTAGGTACACTTGCATGGAAATGCTGTATCGCTGCCAACATGAGACTTCTCACAACGCTGGCAGAGTTTGGATTTGATGAGGATTATTTATCAAAGAATCTCATTGCTTTCACAAGTGATGGGGCTTCTGTCATGTTGGGAATACACAGCAGCGTGGGCCAAAGACTGAAAGAAAAATTTTATGCGCACCTCCTGTAGCATATGAAGCCTAAATTACACCAGCATGTTATATTTCACTCCGAAAGCACGCGTGCCATCGTGCCTTTGCTTCTGCGCCTGCGCAAATTACGAATCGCGTTATGCTGCAAACTTACATACTGACATACGGCTTGGCGATCAAAATTTTCGTATAAAAATGTCAACTAATCAGGGGAAAAAACGAAAATGTGTTAATCTTCTCAATTACGAGGCAATAAAAGAGAAGGCCACAGTGGATAAAGAATATATTGAAGGCATTCGAGAAAGAATATCCAAATTAAAAGATGTTGATATTGAGCGTTTGTTGTCGGGCGCAGTCAATCTTTGCGAAGATGAAGCCCTTCATATTCTTAGCGCTAAATTGTCGGTAAGATGTTTATACTTCTTGTGCGATGCTATAAGACATGTTCCTGATAACGTCAATCGAGTAACAAATGGCATTCCAGTTCGAACGAATTATATTTTCAAGTTATTTACAAGCATGGCCGCGGCGAACGGGCAATGCGCAAAGGTGTCGATTGACGAATTGTCGACTTATATCAAATTTATTGAAAAATATTGCGATGCGTTTCTCCGACATGTTGATAATGAAGAGCATTTATGGCAGTTAACGAAAAAGGAAGAAATCACTTTTAATAAATTCTTAACTCCTCCAGTTTCAATATGTTCGTCTTGCGAAAAGAATTTGACTGTCAGAAACAACCCGTCGAAGGCTAAATTGTTTACGTTGGAAGGCCCTATCCCATGCACAAAAATTACGCTGGAGTGTAGACGATGTTCTCATGTTTATGATATATGCAACTACACCGATACATCTGGCACTCATTTTTATGTGGAACCAGCTGATATTGTTGAAATAAGTGACGTTACATTTATGGAGATGAACCTTTACAAGTGGTTTCCAGCTCTAAGGTAAGATGTGCATATGTGGCGTTATTTAAATTAAGGTATTGATGCCATACTTTTTGAAATTTTAATTTATGTGTTTAAGTATTGTTATTTTCCCTTAGCAATCATTCTTGGGTGTCGTTTAGTGGCTTCTCAGAGGCATATAATGATGTCTGTGAAGATACAATACATAAGTATGCTTCAGTAGTTGCTGGCCAGACAGAGGCAGAAGGTAAAAGTTGGGGGCCGGGAAACATCTTGGGGCTAAGTGGTCAGATAAACCATTTAGCCAAGGTGTATCAAATTGATCCTTGGTATATGTTCTAATTTCAGCAAAACTAATGTTTCACAGTTTGGTGTAAGGCCCTGTTTACATGAGACCGGAACAAAGTCAAACCGGGACCATTTCGTTTTGGTCATGGTTTTATTTATAATAGATGTTTACATGAGACCGGGACGAAAATAACTCAGACCGGTCTCAAGTCATTCCGCCTGCTGAACCGAACCGACTGACTTCAGACCGGCATGAATTCAGACCGGGATGAATTTAAACAGAAATACAGGTACATTTCAGACCGGTCTCGGCTGTAACCTTGACATTGGAACAACACATGCTAGCAAAAGCCACCTGAAAAAGAAAATTGCCTGGCAAGGGGAGTAAATTGAAGACTTTGTGATCCTCGTACCGGTCTCATGTAAACATGTTGACAATTTCAATTTTCATTCCGGTTTGACTTCGTCCCGGCCTAATGTAAACGGGGCCTATAAGGCCCGGTTTAGACGGCGAACTTTTCATGCGCCGAATCTACTTGCCATAGATACGGCAAAATATTGGAAACTGATTTAGACGTCGAACTTAATTGTGCCGTATCAAATTGCGAGGACACTATATTGGACATATTTACAATGCAAATATATGATAATCATATTGTAATGTTAAAAAATTAAGTATGCAAAAAAAAGCACGGCGTCTAAATCGATGTCGAACCTGTGTCGCATATACGACTTGTCTTGTCGCATCTTCGAGTCGTGTCGAACTTAATCAAAATCTGCCGAACTTAATTGATTTAGACGCCGCTCCAGCGTCGCACTTAATCCTTGCATTCGATTCGGCGCATGAAAAGTTCGCCGTCTAAACTGGGCCTAAGTTAAAGGTTGAGGTCTACATCATTAAGCCTTGTGACCGTATCATTTCAGCATTTTCATCAGTCAGTATAATCTGTAGACAATGCAGACTGGGGATAAAATGCTGACTATGGGTGAATGGTGGATATTTAATAAATTCCCGCCAAATTGCGGTCAAGTGCTCGCTTTCTTGGCACTTAATAGAGGGATTATGGTATGAAGGTTTACAGTACCAGTTAAATCAGGACAGTGATCTGTCACCCGACTGCAAATTATTTGGCGTTAGTCAGCATTTTATCCCCAGTCTGCATTTATTTTTATACCCCACACCCAGCCTGGTCTGCAGATTATACTGACCGGTATTTTCATTTATTTGTTGTCAATTCAACACAGTCTTATCATTATGAAAACATTCTCAGTAATATGTGTTTACTTATTTTGTGAATCATATAGACTTGGTGGCAGAGGATGTTGTTGGTGAAGGCAATGGAGCAAGAAACATTAGTAAGTAATGTTCACCTTTTAGTTGTTGATATGATATATATCAATATACAGTATGATATTTATACATTAGTATTATCAAGAATAAGAGTTGAGATTTTGAAACCAGTCACAGTATAATTGAATTCTTTGACTCATTATGAGGTGGAAAAGGAACTGGTAGTAATGTTTAAGTTAAAACCCTTTTCTTAGATGTTCTTCCTGGAGAAATGTCGCCAAAGGTGATTGCAAAGTGCTTTTGGCGAAGGGAAGTTGAAGAGGAACTTACTGGCCTAGGTTTGCGAGACGAATGGGTCTTATCAAATAAATCAACTGGCCCATTATCTGGTACATTGGATAATGTTATGGAAATGGTGGATAAAATGCGTTGTGAACGGCTGTATTCACACCAATGCTCTGAACATTGTAAGAGCAAAGGTACTGTCATATTTTAACATTTACAACTGTAATTATAAACTGTCTTTCAGTGGTGTAACAGACAGCAGTGTAAGGTCAGAGTAAAGCAACCATCCCCAAAGGACCCCTGGGCGAATCTAAAATAACAGCCTCAATTTAAAAATTGAATTAGAAACTGTACATATTGTGACAGTTCAGTAGCCCAATGCAATATTTTCTTTCACTGGAATAAAATTTCCAACTCTGTACTATTATCACTATACTCTCTAGTCTTCAGCAATTCATTATGATTTTATTGTATTATGTATATGCCAGGGGGGGGGGGGGCTCTCCTAAGGGCACCCAATAGCTCTGTCACGCTCACAACACTGTTGCCTTTTGAATTTTTTATTCTTGAAATTTAGGTTGTGGCCAATTATATGTTGCTGATGGTAATTGGAAACTTCGTTACTGCCACTGCATGTGGAAAGTCCCGGTTTCTCTACATGAATTTGGCCAAATTAATAACCCCAACATCTGTCCTTTGAGTCCAAAACGTGGCCATGCATTTTGCCAGCTCCACTGTGTGAGAGCTGCTGCTTTAGGAGTTCCATCTGAACTAAGACAGTTCTACAAATACTGTGGATTGAACTTTAAGGACAAGGATGAAGGTTAGCTTTGGAATATTGTTAGTTAATTCATAAAATTGAAATGAGAGTGATATATTGACCATTACCCAGTGGTGTGAAGATATGGATTTTATCTTCAAGTGCAGAAACAATATTTACAAATGAACACAGCAAATAAGTTAATTAAGTATTGTTTTCAACACATTGTTATTGAAGATAAAATTCACATTTTCAAACCATCATGTAATGCTATTTTTATTATGCAGTGAAATATGGATGAAAAGCAAAACATTCATTACCAAAGCAATGAATTAGCAAGAAAGTGATCAATATCTTCACAGTAGACAACAGGATTATATGGAAAATACAGTATATGTAAGGTATTGTCTTGATATCTTCAAGACAATACCTACACATATATTTTCCATATCTCACTGTCTACTATACAAGAAAGTAAATTATTACCTTATGACTGAATTTATGATGTCATGAAGTATATAAATGATATATAATCCCCAAATAGACAAAAGAGTTTCATAACAATGCTCTATACTTGCGCATTATATTAACTTTTACATGGAAGGTGATGGGCGATTACCGATTACTTGGTATCGATACCACCCGATACCAGGCCCAAACAGGAAGTAGTCGATACTGCACGGCATCTAAAAGTGTTTCAATTACTTTAAAATTAGACATTCGTTATAATGCTGCAGTTGTGTCATCATTTTCATGGTTATTTCTGATAACATTTATGTACTTTTTGGTATTTTGCTGCATTTATCAATTTAATCAAACTTCCTTGTCTCCTCAAACTCTCAAACTTCCTTTAATCAAACTTCCTCATTTATTCTCGCCGACATAAATTATGAAAAAGGCGGGAAATAACATAATTTTTGTGGGTTTTTTTATTAAAATGGCGGACAAATTGTTACTGTTAAAAATATGTAACTTTTTGAAAATCTGAGGAAGTAATCGTTGGGTAATTGATAACTCGATACTTTAACCATGGATAATAAAATAAATGGATAGGACTCTCGCTGACGTAAGCAAAAACAACCTAGTTGCAATCTGTGACGTCACACCACTTTGCCATTAACTTTATTCATTTTGTCTGCTCTCCCCTCAAACTCATATTGGTAATGCATATATGTGTTCATGAAGTATTTTTATGGTATTGAACTTGAAATATGAATTTTTTCTACTTCCATAGCCCTTGAAGAAATCTCAGAACAAGCTATTCTTGCAGGTACTGTGAAGTATGATGTAGCTTACATTAACCCTCCAAGGGGATGTTTATATGGAATCCAGGCTGGCCCAGTTAGCGAGACAGCCCGGTAAGCGAGATCTTGCTATGTAGTTTTTTTTAATAGTAAAAATTACTTTCCATTTATATGTACAAGCGGGCTGGCCCATTTGCAGAGATCTCACTAGAAAGAGTTGAGATCTCGCTTACCAGGATGAAAATTTATCCATATAAACACTCACAAGCGTGCTGGCCCGGTTGTTGGGATGAAAGTTCAAAGATGCAGCTGCAAACTAATTTTAACAACTGTCAAAACAACAAAATTGTCTCAGCAAGCGGGATGAAATTTTCTCATATAAACACAAGAGAAATTCTTCCCGCTTACCAGGCTGTCTTGCTAAGTGGGTCAGCGCGGTTTCCATATAAACAGCCTCTAAGTGCAAATGATTTATGCTTGTTAGTCATTAAATTCATTTCACTGAGAGGACTTCGAAATTGATAATATTTATATTATTTATCATTTAAAGCAAGCCAATCACAACTGTATGATGTTGTACAGTACATTAATAATTTAACATTAGTTAACGGCAGAGTATCCGAGTTTGATTGAGTAGTTGGCAAATGTTTCAGAATTGGCATTTGGCAATGTAATAATAAACGCAGAACTGCCAATGAGGTACTGCAGTTATTTAGATTGGTTTGCAGCTATTATAAATTAGGACACAAAGGCAAATTTAATGCAAACCTCATGCTATGCCCCAAATATATGTAATGGGGAAACAGAAATATTTTAAAAATGTGTGTACTTTAGTTAATGGATGAATCAAAAGGTTGGTTGGCACACATCCATTGTCTGACTAAGCTGTTTATGCTGTTTTTCATTAACTGATTCTATGAAATCTAAAAAATATTTTAAAATGCATTCGACTCTTCATTCTTGATAGAAAGTTCATCTGAAAACATGGCTTCCTGCCTCGAAAGTATTTCAGGAACAAAACAAGACAGGAATGATTATAATGCAACTTCATTTCAAGGTAATTATAATCAAAAGCAGGTTTATTTCCATCTTTCTAAAATGATCACCTGACTATATTCGTTTTGAATTTGAAAGGAACAACAGATTTTTTGGAGAAAAATCCAAGCTTTGTTAAAGATCAATCCTGTGATGAGGAGACATCCTGCAACAAAGATACTGGTGGACTGAAAGCTCTCCATAGTTGGTCAAGAGGCATATTTTTTATTGTCAGCGCTGGTGGGCATATTGAGTACTGGCAGCCACTTTACAGGTAAAATGGTTTTTGATAAGCTGATAGGTTCAGTGTAACTCAAAATGATTTTTTACCATAGACGGATTTTTTGGGGGTGCACCCCCAAAAATATTTTGCATCCCCCAAAAAAATATTTTTCCCACCCCACCTAGAAAAAGTTCCACCCGAAAAAAAACATTTAAATGCTCATTGGGATAAATGACAGTAGTGTGATTGAGATAAAGGTTTTGAACTAAGAAAGGGGGCTTTGTCCCCTTACCCTCATTACCAACTGTGCCCCCAAACCCCTGCTGCATCTTGTTTAGCGGCATTACGCACCCTGTCGCTCAACCCCCTAAATTTTTGGTAGACCCCCTCCCAACCAAAGTCTGAAAATCCGACTATGTTCTTTACTATAGTATATTAATGAACAACAAAGATTATCGTTTAATTCTTACATTAGAAATACTAATACCTTTTAACCATAATGGGAAAATAAATGTCTTTGTGATAGTTATTGTTCTACTTATTTTGGACCTGTGAAATGGTAAAATTGTGTTATACTTATGATTTTTATTATTCAGGTCTGAATCGCCAACTCAAGCATTCGTAGTAACCATCCTATGGCTTTACAGAAAATTTAAAGGGATGAAGAATGAGTTCTCTGATGATGACATCAGGCAGGCAATGTCATCAATTTGTCTTGCTTATGACAACATGTGTCACATGGATAGCCTGAAAATTGCCAAAAGAGACCTTCCCTTGCCCAAACCATTTGATGAATGCTGGAAGCTGATATCAAAAGTGATTGATAGACTCCATTTAAGAAATCACGTGGATCCTAAGTGTGAAAGAATGTACAATGCTGATGAAAAAGTCCCACCACAATTTAACACCATGGCATGTGAACAGATCTTCATTTGGGCCAGTCGCTTTAAGAAAGTCATGTGTGCAATGCCACATGTTCATCAGTTTTTTTCCTCCACAGGTTGGTTAATTATGTTCATTTAAAAATTAATTATTGGAAAATGCTACTGCTGTATGACAGTAACACTTTCCCCCCCATCTGTTACAACAAGGACGGATGTTTTTT